TATTCTGGCACAGGAAGATTATGTTTTAGGACATTAACGATAAAACAGAATATTGTTGTTCTATTTTTAGACACATCTCGCGATCGACTGGGAATCTCCGCGCGATCGACCGGTCGATCGCGATCGACTGGTTGGGCACCCCCGCATTAGACCAATCACTACCCTCTCAAATGGAAATATGTGTTTACATAAATGGTGACCACACCGTTTGAGACCCACTGAGAACTTAGACTAAGTTAACTATCTAAACACTCAGAGAGTCCTTTACCTCACCTGAGCTGAGGTTATCCCGAGCTTGAATGACACACAGAGACCAATCAAGGGCTTTGATTTATGATCTGTATGACAGTGGCCATGTTGGCAGGCCACATCATGTGGACAGCCAGTCATCCTGTGTGAGGCAGGCCACTTAACAGGCCAGAAGGAGGCGAGATCAGAGCAAGGGAGCGAGGGATCATTGTCCACAAGGTGTCGTGGGAAACCCTGCCATCTGTACAAGTTGTTGGAACAAGTCACGTAACTTTTAAGAAAGCGTTTAAAAAAAGTACACTTAAGGACTGAAAAGGCAAACGGATAAACTGATTACAGACGATATTTTCATGTGTATCGTCATTTATAAACAATTTTTAATGTCGGGGTTATTGCAAATACTGGTTTATTACCACACCCCAAAATCCTACAGACCTGAAGATTCAAAATGTATACTTTCTCCAAGTGCTACAGTAACTTAAGTTGTAACTCATCCTGATCTTTCTCCCACAGAGACCCACGATGGAGTGCAGGACATGGCGTGTGACACCTTCATCAAGATCGCCCAGAAGTGCCGGCGTCATTTTGTTCAGGTCCAGGTTGGAGAGGTGATGCCCTTCATCGACGAGATCCTCAACAACATCAACACCATCATCTGCGACCTGCAGCCACAGCAGGTCAGTACCGTCAGCAAAGACCAGAGAGGGCAAAAGTACACATCCTTTACTCAAGTAGAAGTGCAGGTACTCGGCTACTAACCTAGCAACCAAGCTTCAGCTAAACTCTGGTATCTTCAAACCTACTTACAAATAAATATGTGGAAGTCTAAGTTCAACCGTATTTGGTTGGAAAACATCAAATTTAGTGCTTGGTTGAAACCAGTGGAGGAGAACGTGTTTGAAGCCCGCTGCACATTTTGCAAAATAAATTAGCGTTTATTTTGCAAATGTAGCGTTGGCTAGTGGAGCAGCTCCCGCAACAACATCGGGGGACCTCCGGGCGACGACGTTTAGGTTTGAATACATTTACTTTGAAAGTAATTATGGGACGCATTTCCTCTTTCATAGCAATTTGTCTTCATACTTTCTTGCCGTGAAATAGGTCTTAAATTCTATTCAAAGTGGTCTTAAAAAGTCTTAAATTTGAGTTGGTGAAACCTGCAAGAACCCTGTTCTTTACTCAAGTAAAAGTAAAGAGGCTTCGAAATGTACTTCAGTAAAAAGTACCCATAACTCCCAGCTGTTTTAAAGAGTACCTGACCTCCCTTTATATGAATAGAACAATAATGTCATTGTTAGCTAATGAATGTTTCCATGCTGAACAACGGCAACATGACAACGTTTCCATTGGTCCCTCTTCTTTAGAGAAGACCAGGAAATGATGGATACACGGATCGTGTTCAAATCAATAGGCACGCAATGACTCTAAAGAATAATGATCACGCATCAAACACACATTCAGACTAAAGGAACCAGCTGTTTGGGAAATGAGAGAAGTAGAAAGTACAGGTATTTGAGTTCAACATGTAAGAAGTAGAAAGTACAGGTATTTGAGTTCAACATGGAAGAAGTAGAAAGTACAGGTATTTGTGTTCAACATGTAAGAAGTAGAAAGTACAGGTATTTGAGTTCAACATGTAAGAAGTAGAAAGTACAGGTATTTGAGTTCAACATGTAAGAAGTAGAAAGTACAGGTATTTGTGTTCAACATGGAAGAAGTAGAAAGTACAGGTATTTGAGTTCAACATGGAAGAAGTAGAAAGTACAGGTATTTGTGTTCAACATGGAAGAAGTAGAAAGTACAGGTATTTGAGTTCAACATGTGAGAAGTAGAAAGTACAGGTATTTGAGTTCAACATGTAAGAAGTAGAAAGTACAGGTATTTGTGTTCAACATGTAAGAAGTAGAAAGTACAGGTATTTGAGTTCAACATGTAAGAAGTAGAAAGTACAGGTATTTGAGTTCAAAATGTAAGAAGTAGAAAGTACAGGTATTTGAGTTCAACATGTAAGAAGTAGAAAGTACAGGTATTTGAGTTCAACATGTTAGAAGTAGAAAGTACAGGTATTTGAGTTCAAAATGTAAGAAGTAGAAAGTACAGGTATTTGAGTTCAACATGTTAGAAGTAGAAAGTACAGGTATTTGAGTTCAACATGTAAGAAGTAGAAAGTACAGGTATTTGAGTTCAAAATGTAAGAAGTAGAAAGTACAGGTATTTGGGTTCAACATGTAAGAAGTAGAAAGTACAGGTATTTGTGTTCAACATGTAAGAAGTAGAAAGTACAGGTATTTGAGTTCAACATGGAAAAAGTAGAAAGTATAGGTATTTGAGTTCAACATGTAAGAAGTAGAAAGTACAGGTATTTGAGTTCAACATGTAAGAAGTAGAAAGTACAGGTATTTGTGTTCAAAATGTGAGAAGTAGAAAGTACAGGTATTTGAGTTCAACATGTTAGAAGTAGAAAGTACAGGTATTTGTGTTCAACATGTAAGAAGTAGAAAGTACAGGTATTTGTGTTCAACATGTAAGAAGTAGAAAGTACAGGTATTTGTGTTCAACATGTAAGAAGTAGAAAGTACAGGTATTTGAGTTCAACATGTAAGAAGTAGAAAGTTCAGGTATTTGTGTTCAACATGTAAGAAGTAGAAAGTACAGGTATTTGTGTTCAACATGTGAGAAGTAGAAAGTACAGGTATTTGTGTTCAACATGTAAGAAGTAGAAAGTACAGGTATTTGAGTTCAACATGTAAGAAGTAGAAAGTACAGGTATTTGTGTTCAACATGTAAGAAGTAGAAAGTACAGGTATTTGTGTTCAACATGTGAGAAGTAGAAAGTACAGGTATTTGAGTTCAACATGTAAGAAGTAGAAAGTACAGGTATTTGTGTTCAACATGTAAGAAGTAGAAAGTACAGGTATTTGAGTTCAACATGTAAGAAGTAGAAAGTACAGGTATTTGTGTTCAACATGTAAGAAGTAGAAAGTACAGGTATTTGAGTTCAACATGTAAGAAGTAGAAAGTACAGGTATTTGAGTTCAACATGTAAGAAGTAGAAAGTACAGGTATTTGTGTTCAACATGTAAGAAGTAGAAAGTACAGGTATTTGTGTTCAACATGTAAGAAGTAGAAAGTACAGGTAAAAAGTCATCAGAAATGAGTAAGTAGTTGAGTAAAGTACTGATACCAGAAACATGTACTTAAGTAGAGTAACAAAGTATTTGTACTCCACTACTTCCCACCTCTAGCAAAGACACTATTAGAGTTTTCATTATTGTTTTTAGTTTTTTATATAAGACTTTTCCGGTGACATATGAACATGTTTGTAATAAGATGTTTCCTCGATGCTCTGTGAAATAAACTCTGCTTCTCGTCTCTGCAGGTGCACACGTTTTACGAGGCGGTCGGCTACATGATCGCCGCTCAGACAGACCAGGCGGTTCAGGAGCTTCTGATCGAGAAGTACATGCTGCTGCCCAACCAGGTGTGGGACAGCATCATCCAGCAGGCCACCAAGGTGAGGAACCCTTTGAAGTGCACTGATGTGTCCTACATGCTCTGTAGATCTGTAGACTACTTTATTTAGTGTTACTTATCAGGGTTATTGTAAACAAACTAAAACAAGCAGTCATAAATACTATCGTATACGGAAACCAAATAAGTGAATGTAAACTGAAATGATATTCCCTGGGTATTAAAACAAATTTCAATTTAAAATTGCACATATTATTATTTGTCTCACTTTTTAAAAATCCTTTCTGAACAATAAAGACAGCATGACTGTCCGTCATCTCTCATGACAACAAACCGCAGAGATGTGACCTTCATGTTTCAGAAGATGGAGTTATACAGCATGGATGCCTTCGTTATTCACAAGCCGTCTTATCTTGTACAATGAAAAGTAAAACTTGGAAATTCACTTATAACAGGCTTTTAAAATTGTATAATGCTTTTTAAAAAATGTATTTTAAATACTATGTGAACGCCTTTTTATATAATGATGTTCTTCTTGTTACGTCCCCATCTATATTTTGCTGTAACAATGTAAATGTCCCCTTTGTGGTAGGAATAAAAGGATTTCTGATTCTGATGCTACTTATGCTAACTTGCTAACGTTGTTCTGCAGAACGTGGACATCCTGAAGGACGCGGAGACGGTGCGTCAGCTGGGCAGCATCCTGAAGACCAACGTGCGCGCCTGTAAAGCCGTGGGCCATCCGTTCGTCGTGCAGCTGGGGCGGATCTACCTGGACATGCTCAACGTCTACAAGTGTCTGAGTGAGAACATCTCCTCAGCTGTCCAGACCAACGGTAAGAAGTTCTTTAATATAATTTATTGAGTATTAAAAGTACATATTATACAATTACAGAATAAGAAAGGGACAGAAACATTTCAAAATTAAGCACATAAAAAAAAAAAATCTTACAATAAGAATAATATAAACCAAAAGGACTCAGTCATCGAGTCATAGTGTCGATGAAAGATACTTTTTTTTATTATATATTATATATATTTTCATCTAAAGTTACAGACAGAGAATCAGCACTTTTGAAACAGGGCTGAAACAGAGGGGATTATGGGTAATGCTGCAATGATCTGTTTGGTGTTTCAGCCAATCAGAGACATGTTCTGTATATATCTGAGACCTGTGATATACTGATGAAGAACAGGATAATAGGGGACCTTTAAAGCAAGTCTGAATAACTCGTTGAACATGCGGTACAGGAGAGATGGTGACCAAGCAGCCTCTGATCAGGAGCATGAGGACGGTGAAGAGAGAAACTCTGAAGCTGATCTCGGGCTGGGTCAGTCGCTCCAACGACCCTCAGATGGTGAGTCGGCTTATCTTCAGTGTTCCATGTTGATCCTGTCCTGGAAGAAGGTTTTAAATGTGTTTTATTGAGAGTTGCTCCTTCAGCAAATGTGGAAAATGTTCAGAGTTCCTTCTCGTAACAAAAACAATCTGATGAAAATATTGCTCACTTTTCGTCCTGATCCAGTTATAGAAGAACCTGTCTGAAAATGAGCTGATCAGATTTTGGCCACTTTATGAAAGGCAACCAAGGTAACCCCCCCCCCCTTATCACCTGAATCTCCTCCTAGAGCACCATTGAGTTCTTTCTAACCAGATCTCTCTCAGAGGGGCGTGGGGAGGGGCTCCTTATTTTCGTCTGAAGTAACAGACTCTGGGTGTTTCTCAATGTTGAGGAAGTGTCCTCCAGAGCCACTATTTCAAGGATGCTACGTCATCGAGTCCCGCCGAAGGACTGTTCCAATGTCCAGACTCCTTGGAATTCTACCGAGTCCGGAGTCCTTCGTTGTGTATCCTCCGCGGTCTTAAAATCCCCACAATGCATTGCGCACGGACCAATTTCCAAAATGTAAGGCGGGGCCTCTCATATGAAGCATACTTGCTAGCCTGTTCCATTCTTCGTTCTCCGAATGCCAGGAAGGATTCTTGCCTAGCCTCTGAAGGACCTGACTCGGAAGACTTCTCCTACCAAGGAAGTGTCCTCGACATTGAGAAACACCCAGAGAATCAGCACTTTTGAAACAGGGCTGAAACAGAGGGGATTATGGGATACTGCAATGATCTGTTTGGTGTTTCAGCCAATCAGAGACAGGCTCTGTATATATCTGAGACCTGTGATATATTGATGAAACACAGGATAATAGGGGATCTTTTTAAATAGATACGTCTTAGACCAGAAACAGTGTTTTAAAGCCTCTTCCTGTTTGTTTCTGTGCTCCAGGTGGGAGAGAACTTCGTGCCCCCCCTGCTGGAGGCGGTGCTCATCGACTATCAGAGGAACGTCGCCGCCGCCCGGGAGCCTGAGGTCCTCAGCACCATGGCAACCATCGTCAACAAGCTGGGATCCCACCTGACGGGAGAAATCCCCAAAATCTTCGACGCTGTCTTCGAGTGCACTTTGAACATGATCAACAAGGTCAGTTTGAGCGATTTAATAAAACAAATAAAACATGACCTGCTTAAATCTCACCTGATTAGAGCGGCGATCTGAGGGTGGGCGACTGATCATTAGTTTAAAGAATTTGTGTGTGTGTGTGTGTGTGTGTGTGTGAAGTGGTACTGCTCTTAATGAATTGAGGTGTGAAAGGGTGAATGATAGCATGTAGTATGTAAAGCGCTTTGAGGGGTCATAAAGACTGGATAAAGCGCTTTATAAGAACAGTCCATTTCCCGTAATAATGAATGTCTTGCTTTTCCTCCCGTGCCTTCAGGACTTTGAGGAGTTCCCCGAACACAGAACGCACTTCTTCTACCTTCTTCAAGCCGCCACCTCGCAGTGTTTCCCCGCCTTCCTCTCCATCGCCCCGGCTCAGTTCAAACTCATCCTGGACTCCATCATCTGGGCCTTCAAACACACCATGAGGAACGTGGCCGACACAGGTCAGTCTTCTCATCTCTTCGTATATAGTGTTCACACAAATGTAGAAACCCTAAAAACGTGTCAAAGTCTAAAAAATGTGGATTTATGAATTCGGCTAGACGATGGGTTTGTCAGTTTAGAGCTGCTTTTTCTCAGCAAGCTAAATTACTTCACTATTTTAATAGAAATATAAGAAATTGAAGCCTGTAATTCGTAACAAACCACACGAAACCTACTGGATTTGCTATCTTTAAACATTGAGCTTAGATGAGTCAGACTTGTATAGTTGAAAAAGCCCAAAGGGAAACTCCTAAGTTGCAGCTTAAACATTTTATTTCAGAAACCTGCATTTTCCTACGGGGGTTAATACATTTTTATAATATAAGAAGTACTTTATTGATCCCAATTTGGGAATGTTTGTGTTGCAGCAGCATAAAAAGACAAGGCATTGTACATTAGATCATCATCGTTTCTTTCCTTATCTCCTCCCCAGGTCTCCAGATCCTCTACACTCTCCTGCAGAACGTCTCCGGAGAGGAGGCGGCCGCGCAAAGCTTCTACCAGACGTACTTCTGTGACATCCTGCAGCACATCTTCTCTGTGGTCACCGACACCTCTCACACTGCAGGTCTGTACACTGACTGTAAGGTTGTTCAGGTTCTAGAGGTTTGAAGCATTCAAAAACACTCCCAAGAAAGGATTTTGCAACGGGTTCAATCGGTTACACTTCCTGTCTTCTTTCAGAATAAAGGTGGAGCTACTCGTTCCATTCATTCCTTTATTGGCGTGTGGCGCAGTGGGTTAGTGCGCTGATCTTCAAATCAGAGTTCGAGTCCCACTGCAGTCAGCATGTCGTTGTTTCCCTGAGACACTTCACCCCAAATTGCTCCTGTGGGGATTGCCCACAGTATTGAGTATGTTAGTCGCTTTGGATAAAAGCGTCTAGCAAGTAATGTAAAAATAGATTCTGATGTCAGCTGTTCCTCTGTCGGGTTTTCACAGATTTTAGAGCCCTGTGTTCTTAAACATACTATCCACATGAATAATGAAGTGACCCTCTTGCTGTCTTTAGGGCTGACGATGCACGCCACCATCCTGGCCTACATGTTCAACCTGGTGGAGGAGGGGAAGGTCAGCGTGGCTCTGAGCGCCTCCAGCCCCACAAACAACCAGGCGCACGTGCAGGAGTACATCGCCAACCTGCTGAAGACCGCCTTCCCTCATCTGCAGGAGTAAGTCTCTCTCACGCCACACTGAGAGTGCATGAGCAGACTGAGCTTTGCCTAACGTCTGCCAGTGCATTTTAGTTTTACTCAAATGCATTTAGATCAAAAATATAACAAGTGAGATATTTTCAGCCACTTAAGCGAAGGCTGTAGAAGTGAGTCAACATGAGAAGACGGTGCTTTGGTTATTGTTGCCAAATATTCAGAGCGTTTTCACGGAAAATAAGTTTTACACAAGTTCATTGAGATCAAAACTGTAATGACTTGAGGTGTTTTCAGCCACTTGAGCTTCAGTAGACCACAATGCACGTAACGCTGATTCAAAGTAAAGGATGCAGAAGTGATTCAGCCCTTTCAAACTCCATTTCCATCCTCAACGTTTACCTCGTAGACTTTGATTTCTGCAGAACAAAAAGGCTGAGAATGTCTTCAACAAAATGATGAACACACGTTAATATGGAACTTGTGTTTTATAGTCTAGAACTGCAATGATACGTCGAGTGATTGAAATATGATCTACTATAGCTATTCAATTAAGCATTAAAGTGATTTATTTTCTCTCTGTATGATATCGTATTAAACTGAATATTCGTAGGTCCCTGGTAGTGAAGAACTTTGAGAAGCTTGGATGGTATTTTTTAATCTATTCTCCGACTTGTTATAGACTAAACAATGAACCCATAAATCATCTCTATATTGCGGTTATTGTATGGGTTCATATTATTTATTACAGTTGTTTCTGTTACTTCGTCCACCTTCACGCTGTGCTGTTTGTCGACGAGCGGCTAATTGATTATTGTTTCTCGTGTGCAGCGCCCAGGTGAAGGTGTTTGTGACGGGTCTGTTCAGCCTGAATCAGGACATCCCCGCCTTCAAGGAGCACCTGAGGGACTTCCTCGTGCAGATCAAAGTGAGTGTCGGAGTAAATGATTAATACCTGCACCTGAAAACGGGATGTCATTCATGAAAATGGTGCCATAAAGTAAACTGACAAGTGGATCTAAACTGTGTCACAGCTCAAATTAAGTTGTTAATTCTTGTTAACTTTTACCCAGTTACATATATAGTACAATTTGTGTCTGGTGATTTTGCTTTAGGAGCCTTGAAAGAGATTGAATTGTGTTGTGTATTTAGTAATAAAGCATATTGATAAGAGTCAAAGCAATTAAGTAAAATCAGGAAACATCTTCAATTGAAGTTCTATCAAAATCTAAACATAAATAGAAAACAGCTGTTTGGCCCGATTAAAGAAGCCCAGGGACCTCACCATAGAGAGGCCAAGTCCCTCCCTTTCCGGGGGCTCCATGGGACCTTATTTCTGAAAAATGATGTATTGAAGTCAATGGAGAGAGAAAACGTATCGTTCGATCCCGTTTGAATTGTGCCATGAATTACATATGATGTTTGTCAATCTTAACAAATAATTTCCATGTCAAAAAAGTCACAGTTTGTCGTAAAACTGTTGAAATATAAGACAATGAAAAATACGCAACTACAAAGACTACAAATCCCAGAGTCCCGGTCCCGCATGCTGGCTCTTACGAACCGACTAACTCCCCTTGTGTGTACGTACAGCTCTCAACGCGCCCAGACTTGGAGTGATTTATCTTTTAATACTTTCCGCCTCATTCTGAAAGAAAGAAGTGAAATGTTCCAACGTGACGGCCGTCTGGGTGTGTGGTGCGAGACGGGAGATGTAGTTCATTGAGCGCTTCACACACAAAAAAGTGTTACTTCACAGTTTTACGACACATTTAAAATGTTTTGACTTGAAAAATGATCTTTTAAATTGACAAACATCATATGTGTAATTCGTGGCACAATTCAAACGGGATAGAAAGATAATCTTTCTCTCCATTGACTTCAATACATACTTTTCAGAGATACGGTCCCATGGAGCTCCCCGGAAAGGGAGGGGCTTCGCCTCTCTAGTTGTGTATGTTTGTAAATGCCAACACATTAATACATTAAGTATAATCAGCTTTGAACGAGTTGATAACTGTTCACGGATTATTTTAATGTTTGAAAGCAGAGGAAAGTAGGCGCTCTCTGTTTGAAAGCTAAAGCCCGGTGTTGTTGTTGCCTCTGCTGAGCCTCTGCCTGTGTGGTCCTGCAGGAGTTTGCTGGCGAGGACACGACAGACCTGTTCCTGGAGGAGAGGGAAACGTCTCTGCGCCAGGCCCAGGAGGAGAAACACAAGCTGCAGATGTCGGTGCCCGGCATCCTCAACCCTCACGAGATCCCGGAGGAGATGTGCGACTGAGCAGCAGCAGCGTGAACAGAAACCGCTCTGGACGGGGAAAGAGTCACGAGAGAGCACGGACGCTTCCTGTTGATAGTTTTCTTTTCAAGTGTGTTTGTGTGCGAGTGTGTGTGTGTGTTTGAAAAAGAGAATGAGGGGCCAGAGGAAGGACCCCAGCACTCGGTTGTACGTCGACCAAATCAATGTCAATATGTAAATGAGACTCGTCCCCCCTGACCCCCTCCTCTTAACCCCGGCGCGGATTCTTTTGTTTTTCCGACAAACTTATTTTATACAAAGATTTTTTTTTTTGTGTAACATGCCATCTTTTGCTAATTGTTTTGCTCATTAAAGCTTTATGTTTGGCCATTACGGTTCTTCTACACCTGCATGAAGTATTTTAACTCCCTCTTCATCACCTCAACTCACCTCCTCTCCTTTTTGTTAATATGTAATATATAATGTTGGAACACTTGCGATGGTTAGATGACAGATTGCTCTGAAGTGCCATGTGCATGGTGCAGGACGAATGTGATGCTCAAGGAGTAAACGTTGACTTCCTTGCTTCCTTTGTTGTCTTGTTTTGGTTTGTCAGTGTGTTTATCGTTTTGTTTTTTCTTATACTCTGGCTCTGATCGAGTCGGAGCTTCAGTTGGACCGCTTGGATGAGAAGGAAGGCTGCGTGCATATCATCCTGTTTGTAAAGCTGTCTTAGTACTCTGAGAATATAAAGTTGGCTATTTTTACAAAAAAAAAAACGCGTCTGATTTCTTTTTTCCCAAAGCTTTTGAGTTTATGGAAAACTTTGAGGAATGTCACAACTCGTGCTGCCAGGATCTGAAGGGTTATTGCAAATGACGTTTATTCTTAAATCTCTGGAAACTGACGTTCAGCTTGGCTGGTGATGAATATATTTACCTTTAGAGGAAATGGTTCCCAAACTCTGGCATTAGAGGAGTCACACCTGACCACAGTTAAACAGACGTTTTATACATCAGATATTTGTTCCCATTCGACACTAAACTACTTAAATACAGATGTTATTAACAGGGGGTCCGCGGGGTCTTACAAAGTATTCAAAGTTGATAAATCAATTTAGCGAAAATTAAGGCTATTAAAGGGCATTTTTCAAGGTATTACATTTTGTAGCTTGTTTTCAATAAGTATATAAATGGTCCAAAGAGGTTGTGTTCTACAGTCTGCCTGAATGTAATCATGGCGTAGGTGTGTAGTGTGATTCTGTGTCGTTTATTGATGGCATCCCGTTGGATGTGACGTCATCTGAACAGGACATCGCGCGCGAAGGTCCGTTTATGCCGGTTGCTAAGCAACATCGTTATGGGGAAATGCAAGTCTGCGTCCAAATGGTTGGAAGATAAGGAGGAAGGACAATCAATACTGTGTATAGTCAATGTGAGGTAAAGTGTGTCGCCAAGGTAACCGGTTAAAACTCAAAGTGGCGATGAGGTCTTAAAATGTATGGAAAGGGTCTTAAAGGGATTACATTTGACTTCAGGATTCCTGCATATACCCTGACTAATATACAATTATTGCGTTACAGTAATTGAATAGAATAGAAGCATGTGTTGTCATTATACTACAACGAGAAGAGTAAAGCGGCTCCTTTTTAAAGTGCCATCAAAACATTCAGAAAAGACAACATACAACAAAGACATGCAGCATTCATTAGATTACACGTCACTTGTTAGACGCTTTTGTCCAAAGCGACTTCCATACTCAATACTGTGGGCAATCCCCACAGGAGCAATTTGGGGTGAAGTGTCTCAGGGACACAACCACATGCTGACTGCAGTGGGGTTTGAACCTGTGCACCCTGAACCCAACACCAAGGCACTAGTCCACTGCGCCACACGTGTCCATCCAATCATACATACATAAAATAACAAAAATAAAGTGCAGGAAATAATTCAATTATATAGCATAATAAATATGCTATTTGTGTACATAATATTGCACATGTATGGGTTGCATCGGATGATAATAGCCTGTAGCACGACAACATATCTTCTGTTTAACAGATCTTTGAATCAGGATTATTTGGGAATAAGTGACAAAATAAGTTATTGCTCATTACCAAAGGAGGAAAGTAACCAAGTGCACTTCCTTAAGTACTGTTCGTTAGTATTATTAGAGTGCCTTGCATTTTAATATTTCCATTTTTGTTAATACTTTTACTCCACTACATCTTATGGGTAATATTTGTTCTACTTGACTACATATGTTTGAATGCTTTTATTACCTACAAAAAATACTGCAACCAAGTTATTAAAATGAGCTCCACCTTTACCAGCTGCACTGTGTACTAAGGTTCTTTTAAGTGTATTTTGATGCCAATACTTTTACTTCAGTAAGATTTCAAATGCAGGACTTAAACTGCACTTTGACAGTATTCCTATGAAGAATGAATTTTAAATAATAATATTAAATAAAAACATAATAATGGGTCTTCAGTTTAAATTCACAGAATGCCAACTCAGTTCCTAATTTGTTTGTATTTTATCCTATTTATTTAGTTTTTATTTTAAATCCAACATTCAAACATTACAATCATACAAATGACCAGTAATACATATACCTAATCATACAGATACATTGAAAAATGTATATCATAATAAGTGATGGGATAAATACGATTTATTAAATATAAGTAACTTTTAAAATGCCGGGGGTTAACATAAATAATAAAAGTAATAGTATTAAACTGAGCACCGTCTCAGTTATAGTAGCTCTCTTTGCTAAAGTTACTGCCTTAATATATAGCTGAATGTATTACTTGAAAGCATGAAAGTGAGGTCTTGAGGTGTGTTTTTTATACCTCGGGACTGTGGGAAACAGTATTTCGATCTTTCTGTCTGTACAAACATATTTTGAGATTGACAATAAAGTTGACTTTGACTCAAACAAATTTACATTTTAAAATGTAAGGAGAAAGGGATCCAAATTAAACTTTGCAAAAGTCTTTTGAAAAAAGATTGAGTTGAACCTAGATTTTAACAGAAACAGTTGATAAGATAAAGATTTGTAAAAATATTGATACAAATATATAAATAAACCGCAGTTGCCCTTGGGAGTTAGACAATGTGGCTTATATGTATTTACCTTTTATTAACATAAAGAAAATCATTCAAGACACTTTTCCCATTATTTTACTTATTTATTTTTTAAAGTTTTAATTAATCTAAACTGTATTTGCATCATTCAATGTTGTTGACTGAAAATAGGTGCCTTAAAGATTTGTAAATGACTACATTTTATGGATTCGCTTCATCATTGGGAAGATATCGCGAGACTTCCGAATAAACACGAACGGGTGAAGGAGACAACACGGAAACTCCCGAACAATCTCCACTGTGTGTCGTGTCGCCCCCCCCTCCTAATTTTTCATCATGGCTGCTGTGTCTAGTCTCTCAAGTAACTCTCAGATTGGACACTGACTCAAATTCTACCTTTTCAGTGTTGTGAACATCAACTCCCGTTCTCCACCTTCCTCTGCTCTCATTCAGTGCTGCTCTCATTCAGTGGGATAACATTCACCCCCCAAAAAAAAGTTAATATATTTTTTTAATAAATTGACTTAAACCTTAATTTGTTAACAGTAGAAGTTTACATTTACTACAAAGATATACAAAAAAAAGAATTTAAGAGGTATAGATAAAGCTTTCCGTAAAGATGTGCCTTACATATTTGTGTACTATCATGGATGCGCTTCATCATTGGGAAGATATCGCGAGACTTCCGAAGAAACACGAACGGGCGAAGGAGACAGCACGGAAACTCCCGAACGATCTCCACTGTGTGTCGCCCCCTCCCTCCCCTCCCTTTTCATCATGGCTGCTGTGTCTACTCTCTCAAGTAACGCTCAGATTGGACACTGACTCGATTTCTACCTTTTCAGTGTCTCTTTAACTTTTGGTGTATACATCAACTGTCGCTTGGATGCTAATCCCGTTCTCCACCTTCCCCTGCTCTCATTCAGTGGGATAACCTTCACCAATCACTCCCTCCACTGGGCCTTTTTTTATCCCCAAAAACAACCAGCCAGCAACAACAGCTTCCAGTGCAATGGTGTGACTCAGTGGTTCTCCCCTTGATGAACAATGTGTGAAAACTGCGCCGAGCTGGTGGAGGTTTTAAATGAAAGTAAGTGAGAGAAATCATTTTTATTATTTACACCAGACGATGCTGAGCTAGCTGCTTGCTGTTAGCATCGCTGTCCACTGGAGCTTGCTGTTAGCATGCTGGCTAGCTAAATATAACTTTGTGTGTTTTCGTGTTTATAACTCGGCTTTACATGCAGACTGTGCATCCACAAGACAAGTGGAAGGAATTGAAATATATCTTCATGTTCTGCACTCGATGACAGTTGTGTCTTAGTGTCAGACTGTCTCGGTTTTGATATGAATGCCATTTTCCCCCTTAACAAATAGGCAGTTTTGGGGCCTGTCTGTCAAACACTCAGAAACTCACACTAAGCTGCCCAAAAATTGACTCAAAATTACATCACCTCGATGTTTTTTTTTACGTGACATTACAGCCATGACTTATAATACTTCAGCACAGTTGAACACAGTGCACATGAGTGTGTTTTTAATCATGCTAAATGCTGCTACATTTATGCTTGCACGGTTTTTTTGGAAGTTAGCAGAGTTAGCATAGTTTAGCTAAAGCGAGTAAGCCTGACTTTGTTTGATGTGTTTGTCAGGTCAGTCTGCTAGCTGTCCACTCCATTGTTTCACAGATGCTTCACAATAATTCAAAAACGCCGTGCTAACTTTCCACACACACACACTTTGTTAATATTCCTAACACGAACATGCTGTGTTGAATTTCATGAGTGTTTTTTTGGCGAGTCTCTGAATTATTAATCTAAGCTAACGGCAGAAAAAGCTAGCCCAGAAAATTAATGGCTGCAACGAGGCGCATATTTTTGGCACATCGTTAATCCTTGGTTGTATATGTTTTTCAGGCCGATGTCGTGTGCACATCAGCTTCACTTCATTGCTGGTTTTGGTGGTTAAATTGATTTAGCAACGAAGCCCCCTCACAAACACGGTCAACTAAAGCATGCCAATGTAAATACAAGGTTGTCTTTATAGCTACAAGTTAGCCGTTAGTCCAGGCGTGCTAACCGGGCCTTGCTGCACTTTCAGGGGTCTGTGCAAGATCTGGAACAAAAGCTTTTTTCTGTCATGGCACTATTTGAAAATCTGTTACTGTGCAGCGATTGACGGTTTATTTGTCGTTTTCCTGCAAGTGTGTGTGTGTGTGTGTGTGTAGCCTATTGTGTGTCATGTGAAAAGCTCCTCCTGCAGCCTCCACTTTAACAGACAATCATGCACCTGAGTGTAGCATGGGCTGACTAATGCAATACCCCCAATACTATCCAGCAAATGTATTTAAGACAAGCAATCGAAATGAGCATTTAGGGACTGAGTGTATACAACACACATCTACTTGAGATAATTAGTTGTTGGCCACCTGTTATTGTAAAGGAATTGAATCCTTATTGTACAGTTAATGGTTCAAATCGAGTCGACACCTAACATAAAAGACACCTATGCTCCTTGTTAAACATGTATTTGTATAGCCATTGTTATTATGTTGCTGCTATCACATCCTCCTATAGTTTAAGACTTTTTATACGAGTTTATAAGTGCAGGGATTTTGCAACAAGAGTAAACATACATGATGTGGTTCTTCTGACATGCCTTAAACCTGTGTTTGACCTTTATAGCCCCTCTAGCTACAAGTTAGCAATGAATCCAGTCGTGCTAACCAGGCCTTGCTGCACTTTCAGGGGTCTGTGCAGGACTGGGAACAAAAGTAGCATGGGCTCACTAATGCAATCACCAAATGATACTCCATTATATCCGGCACATTAGTGTATAGAACAAAACTAATGGAGGGAACGAGTGGAGACCACCTGTTATGGTGATGGATGAATCCTTATTGTACAGCTATTGGTTAAGTCTGTGGACACCCAACCTGTGCTACTAGATTATAGACATATCGTCTTAAAGCTATTGGATATTATTTTGCTGCTATTACAGACTCCTATCTTTGAATACTTTTGACCTAAGACGTCCTGGGATTTTGCTCTTATTCTGCAAGAATAGCCTAAAAAGCGTTCTTAGAGGAGATGCTCACATGACATGGTTCTACTGACATGCCTTAAACCGGGTTTGACCTTTAACGTTAACATGCAGACAGATATCTGGTTTTCATTCTTAGCAGAGTCTCAAATTCGCAGTGTAGTTAAATGCTATAACATTTCTAAACTATACAATTAGACAGAAATACATTACATCATTATCTAATACAAGTGTTGTCTGTTTTGCCAAGGCCCGCACACTTTCAATTTGTCTTTTTGACAGCTCTCTGGTCCGGGAGTCCATCAAAAAACGATTTAAGGTCATTCATTTTCCTTTCTTTATGGAGAGGGTTGGTCACCAAAGCCGGCAGACATGTGGGTCTGAATATGTTATCCCCGATGTCGGCCATTGATGATAGCTGCAGTTTTTCTAGTTCATCCCACAGGTGTTAGATGGGGTTGACATCGGAGCTTTGTGCAGGACAGCCCTTTCATAGAAATCTAGGAAAACCATTGATTTTGGAGCTGCTTTCTAGTGTATCGTCAAAAGGAAAGAGACCTTTGACACCAAGCTAGAAAACACTATTGTCTTAAATATAACTGTGCTGTCGTATTAGGATTGATCTGGTATTGGATGTTTGGCTGCCTGACCTGTCACTTAGCTGTTAGTGTGAATACCGGTTCAGTCACAGCTTGTGTTTTTGTGAAATGTGGGCAATACAACACAATATAGGGACCAGAGGACTGTTCTCTAATATGGTGTATATTTTTTGTAGGGATGCTCCGATCGATCGGTCACTGATCGAGATCGGCCGATACTCACTCTCTACCGATCGATCGGTGCTCTCTAAACATGCCGATCAGGAGAGCCGATCGCATGACGTAAAATACATGACACTTTTCTCTGTGCGGCAAAACAAGCTCGCCAACATGGCTTCACCGGTCTGGCAGTATTTCAAGGAGTCCGAAAAAGACAGTAAAATAGTGGTTTGCAACGTGAAGCAGAAATCCTGCAGCTCCGCCCGCGGAGACGGACCGGTGAGCGGAGCGAAACACACAAGAGTTAGACCTACTTAGCTATTTGATCTACCTCTGGAACTAAACTAGTTATTATAAATATATGTATTCTTCACTGGATCAGTGAGCTGCATGAGATACTGACAGGCTGTCAGGAGAGAGGGAGAGGGAGAGAGGAAAAGAGGCTTCCGCTCATTTCTCCCGTGTTATTATCCAAAGTGAATGTAAACTTGAATAATGTACATCATTTGAATGTAATAATGAAGTTGATTGTTGTTTGTGGAAGCTCCAGTGAATGAGCATTAACTGAGTTTAAACATCACTTTAAATGGAAGATTTAAAGTGATGTTAAATCTTCCATTTAGGCCCCGCCCACTCGATCGGATCGGCGATCGGTATCGGCCGATACTGATTCCGGCGATCGGCCCCGAAATTGTCGATCGGAGCATCCCTACTTTTTTGCAAACCTCACATCGGGTTGTCCAGTTAATGTTTATCACAGAGGATGTGTTGCTTGGTGATAGAAGGTCAAACATTGGATTACATTTTCACCTGCATGCCACAGGTCATTGTGTGGACGAAATGCAGGTTGTCTTGGCGACTGAATTGCTTTGTATCCTGAAGTGAGACAACACAGTTTTCACATTTCAGCATTAGAGTTTAGAATTCATTTAACCGTTCAATACCTTACCTGATATGTAATACCAAACAATATTTATATCAGTAGAGAAATGTAAACATCATATCAATGTAGGAACTTTTTGATCAAGAGTAAAATACAATCTTACCCTTTTTGCCACCTTTTAGATACTCAGTGTTTTGGATACACTTCGTATGTGTTTTGGTTCAATATCAAGCCCAACCTTTAACATAAAAGCAATATATGTATTGTAAACGGATACATGAAGGAATATGTTGTAAGAAGTTTGAGGTGCACTTTGCTGACACAGTGCCCTTTGAACTCAAGTAACAAGACACACAATCTTATGTGTCTTTTCACATCAAATATAGTTTAGAAACTGGTCAAAATGTGTTTAAAAATCATGAACATTTCATCCAGAGTGAAAATGTTCAAATGCATTTAAAGCTCCAATTCAGTACTCAGCTTTGAAACTTAGTGTTTTAAATATATTTGAGTAAGTACAAAAAGAGATTGGCTTATTATCACCAAGTCCTACAAACGACATCATGGAAGTGTTTCCTTGTACGATGTGAGGGTCTGAGGACAGAGGGTCTGAGGACAGAGGGTCTGAGGACAGAGGGTCTGAGGACAGAGGGTCTGAGGACAGAGGGTCTGAGGACAGAGGGTCTGAGGACAGAGGGTCTGAGGACAGAGGGTGTCGTATTGTCATACTGATATTCTGTACACGCTGTGAAGTCACTGAGACAGATGTGATATTGGGCCATATAAATAAACATTGATTGATTGATTGTCATAGTTATGTAAATGTAAACAGATTGAAGTATGAGTGAGTTCTTTTCGTGGAACTCTTGTGTTTTCAGACTCTCGTGTTTGAGGATCCGATGTGATAAAGGTTAACGTTGTCTCTGACACTGAACAAACTGTTTCACCTCACTGCACTAAAGAGATTTAGTTTACAACAACTTTCAGCATTTAGAAAGCTTGGTCCAACACTTGTTGAGTATTCTGTGCTTTCATTCTAACTCAGAAGAAGAAATCTGCCTCGTGTGCGTTTTTAAAATGTTTAAAAGGTTTAAAACCTGTTGGGTTTTACAGCTTCTCTCATACTAGCTGGTGATTTGGGGATTTTTTGGGGGGGGGTTAGCAGTGGGGGGCTGTCAGCTGTGACAGCTCTGTCTACAAGACTGGCAGCTCCATGTGTTGGGTGTGCAGGCGACCTCTGACCTCCGATTTGCTGCCGCAGCATGAGTGTGTGTGTGTTTTGTAAGAGCCTCTTTTACAGCCTGCCTCAGGGCCGGGACACACTCTAAAACAAATGCAAGGATTTGCTTGTTTCCTGTTCTCTGTGTGCGCATTGAATATCTGTGGCGTGTTTGAAAGACAAGACAAAAAAGGAAAAGATGTATCATTGGGAAAATCATAATACTTTTGTGACTGAATTCAATTAAAACGATTTTTTTTAAAATGTTAAATGAGCGGTTATGTTATCGCTGTCGACCGTGAGAAGCTGATTATCGGTAATCTGTATTTATAGAAAAACTAAATCCATACCATGCACCCCTAGCAGACGAGAGATTCTGATGAACCTTTTCAAGAAGTTGAATTTATTTTGCAGCAGCAGACACACCTGACCTACTTGTGTCGACCAGACACTTTATTGTACGTAGCATCCTGCAGAATCACATCTGCATGTCTTATTATAGAGATTGTTGCATTTAAACACACTTAAACAAAAACGTTACTTAAACTTCACCATTTTTGGCACTTTGTTGTTAATAATTGGTACCCGATGATCAAGACTGATATGTTCATTGTCGAACGAGTGTCCCCATTACTCTGGTGAGGTAATTTATGACAATTGAAAATAAATATAGTTTTTAAATATAGGTTTCGGACAAGAAAGAGAAAACCCAAAAAAGGATAATAGGGCCGCTTTAATTTGACAAAATGCATTTTGAAAGATGTGCGTCTTTCAAGGTTATGTCAAATAAGATAATACATTCGGCTTCTTAGCCTATAAGCGTGAAATGGAATCTAAAAGTGAGTTTTAAAATGTGTCTGAGATGATGTTAACGTTGCTGTGGGAGTTTTGTTTACTGCACAGATGAAGTGTTTATAGCAAAACAACCTTGAGATTTTAAATGTTGCCAGTTTTGAATGATTTTTAATAGTTTGTTTTACTTCGCATATTGACTGGCTAATGTGCCGTTTTATCTGTGTTTTACAGCTGTATTTGTCTGCCTGTGTTTTATCTGTTGGAACTTCGTCCCTTCTTGGCCAGGTCACTCTTGGAAAACAGATTTGAATCTCAATGAGTCTTTTGCCTGGTTAAATAAAGGACATTGAGATGCCAACACGTCTGTATAGCATGTTATGTAGGTTGCATTTTGGTTGATGTCCTGGCTGTTGATTGGCTTGCGTTGCCGTCAGTCTGACAATAGCGTTGTTCTTATACTGAAAGGGTTAAAATGTCCCCTTCTCAATGCCCCTCAGAGGTGGGTTGTTGTGCCAGAGATCCCTAATCCAGAAAATCTAATTACAAAATCCAGTTGCTGTGGAAATATTACAAAGCCCTTTATCTCTGCTGTTCTCCTTAAAGTGGGAAACACCGAAGAGCAGAGTTGCCTCTATCAAAGAGCATCCCTTTCCACATATTGAGAGCGTACGATGTTTCTCACTCACAAACACATTTCATCTGAACTGTACTTATGGTGTCCCAGCTGCAGCGTCCATGTTGAAACGCCTCCAGTCTGGCTGAGCGTTGCAGTCACAGTGCAGGTGTCCTCCCCCTCTTTATATCCACTCTGAGATGCAGCCATTAACTGGATGTAATGCTGGCACCTGTGTGCGTGTTCCCAGACAACATCATCTTTAAAGGCTGCAGGAAAACGGCCAAATCTCCCGGCCAATTTCCCAGAGAGTCCCAGCTTCTGTTCTGCGGCCTCAGAGGAGCTTCTGTTCACAGGTGGAGCTGAAAGGGTTCAGTTTCAGTGACGAGGAACGTTGAATGAACGCTTGAGATGGCTGATGGAGTTTTATTGTTGCAGTTTTTGGTGTCCTTGGCGTCTAATTGAGGTCAGCGATTCAGCGGAGACACCTGAAACCTCTAAAGTGGGCGTGACTGATGTGGACCTTTGTAGAGGAATACAATAAGAGGAACTTTAGACCGAAGCCAATCTGATTAAGGTTTATCGGATGGGCAGGATTTGAGAATAAACATGTGATAATAATTATTCTACTCGTTTCAGTATATGTAACGATATCAAGCACATCATGGAAACCAATTGGACATACTACTTGAAGTTGTGTCCTTTTTGATTCATCCAGACATTGTTTGTTGTTCTTCTGTTATTAAACTAATCTCAATACATCTCAAGTGAAAGAAACGGGTTACTTGGAAGAAGATACATTAGGTTTGAATTCGAGTCAACGTATGATGTATCCAGCTGCTCCTTGACAGATATTTCTCTCTCCTCAGTATCGGATGCAGACGGCAGTGAAGGAGGCTTCCAGCTAAAGAAGGAACATGCCCTGCGAGTGTTGGGCTACATCAGCTCCTGGACACAGAGGTCAGTGACATCTCAGACAACACAAAATCCTCTTCTTCATGTATCTTCTACATCAACATGTGTCCCCTCTTCTTCATGTCTCTCCTACATCAACATGTGTCCCCTCTTCTTCATGTCTCTTCTACATCAACATGTGTCCCCTCTTCTTCATGTCTCTCCTACATCAACATGTGTCCCCTCTTCTTCATGTCTCTTCTACATCAACACGTGTCCCCTCTTCTTCATGTCTCTTCTACATCAACATGTGTCCCCTCTTCTTCATGTCTCTTCTACATCAACATGTGTCCCCTCTTCTTCATGTCTCTCCTACATCAACATGTGTCCCCTCTTCTTCATGTCTCTCCTACATCAACATGTGTCCCCTCTTCTTCATGTCTCTTCTACATCAACACGTGTCCCCTCTTCTTCATGTCTCTTCTACATCAACATGTGTCCCCTCTTCTTCATGTCTCTTCTACATCAACATGTGTCCCCTCTTCTTCATGTCTCTCCTACATCAACATGTGTCCCCTCTTCTTCATGTCTCTTCTACATCAACATGTGTCCCCTCTTCTTCATGTCTCTTCTACATCAACATGTGTCCCCTCTGTCATGTGTCATGTTTAACGCCTCCTGTGTCTCTGTGTTGTCCTCAGACAATGCCTCTGCTGCTTCAAGGAGTACAAGCACCTGGAGGTGTTCAACCAGCTGGTGTACGCCCTCATCAACCTGGTCATCGCTCAGATCAGCAGCCTGAGAGACCGCCTCTGCTGCGTCCAGGATCAAACACATAAAGGAGGCCTGTGTGGGGCGGAGGGGGGGTCTGAATGGAGCGAGGCTGCACCCGGACCCCTCCCTCAGCCCTCCTCACCGGGTGAAGATGAACCTGTGAACGTGGAGAGAGACTCTGCAGAAGAAGACGCCGAAACATCTGACCAGAATCAGAATAAGATCCAGGGTCAGGGGCCCAGCCAGCCGAGTGAAGCCCAGATGGAAGCACTGGGGCCTGGGGAGAGTGGCAGTGGTGCTGGGGGAGCTGATGGAGCTGATGGAGGAGCTGGAGGAGCTGGAGGAGGAGGTGAAGAAGGAGCTGATGGAGGAGCCGGAGGCAGCAGCAGCAGTGATATCCAGGATCCATTCAGCTCCTGGAGCACAGAGGAGAGGGAGAAACTGCTGCTGTGTGCCGCCAAGATCTTCCAAATCCAGTTCCCCCTCTACACCGCCTACAAACACAACACACACCCCACTATAGAGGTGAGGAGGAGTCCCTATCACACACACACACACACACACACACACACACAAAACACACACCCCACTATAGAGGTGAGGAGGAGTCCCTATCACACACACACACACACACACACACACACACACACCACTATAGAGGTGAGGAGGAGTCCCTATCACACACACACACACACACACACACACACACACACACACACACACACACACACACACACACACACACACAATAGAGGTGAGGAGGAGTCCCTATCACACACACACTCACACACACACTCACACTCACCCCACTATAGAGGTGAGGAGGAGTCCCTATCACACACACACACACACACACACACACACACACACACCCCCCACTATAGAGGTGAGGAGGAGTCCCTATCGCACACACACACACACGCACACACAAAACACACACCCCACTATAGAGGTGAGGAGGAGTCCCTATCACACACACACACACACACACACACACACACACACACACACACACACACACCACTATAGAGGTGAGGAGGAGTCCCTATCACACACACACACACACAAAACACACACCCCACTATAGAGGTGAGGAGGAGTCCCTAACACACACACACACACGCGCGCGCACACAAAACACACACCCCACTATAGAGGTGAGGAGGAGTCCCTATCACACACACACACACACACACACACACACACACACACACACACACACACACACACACACACACACACACACACACACCCCCCACTACGCCTGCAAGGTACAGCCTGAAGTGCACAGATATGAACTGAATTGTATACATTTAGGATAAACCCCTTGAGAAGAACCATCTCCTTTTCAAAAGGGGTCCGGCAAGACAGTAACAAGAAAATCAAAATCACAATTCAACCACAGTAAACTTTTCTGATGACTGTGACTGGATAATAACAGTAATTGATAAACCTCATGAACAGAACTGCGCTTTAAACGAATGAACCTTCTTGAGGATAACTCATATCTTTGATCTCACTGTCTGTTTCTTTCCTTCAGGACATATCTGCTCATGAAAGCAACATCCTGGGCTCCTTCTGCGACATGAACGTAAGATATTTAAGTGTATTGTTACACCCTAAACACTGTCAATCAACCGGCACCTACAGCAGGAAAAGACCCCTCAAAATACCCCCTCTGCTATAAAAAACAGACTTCCTTTGTCATTTGATTTGAAACTCCCAACGCCTTGATCACTATAGGCTGCTTCTGAAACCATTGTCTGCGTAACGCTTAAAGGGGGAATCCGTCCTATTGTTTGGGTGGTTATTTTTAGACAGCTGTGCTTCATCCAGAGCAGGGGGAGTACCAGTGATGATGAACAACTAGATGCCCTGGTGCATGCTGGGAGACGCTTTAAGAGACATTAGGGTTCCCAAACGGTGTCACATGACCGGCTGAGAAGACTTGGGGTTTATTGGGACTTTTGCTCCTTTCACACTTTAGTTTTGATTTCTGTGAGGTCACCATGCTGGGGGGATTCATTACAGCAGGTTTGTACAGGCGTAAGGGCAGATTAACAGGACACAGGAATAAAGTGCTTCATCATCGGCTTTCCACAGTGAAGGGAAATACCTTTAATGTTAGTAACACCGGTTTTAACTGAGTCACCTCCTGTCATTTGTTTTAAGAAATATCTGAAAGTCATCCCGACTCAGCAGCAGTTTGTGGACAGGGAGACAAGATCGTATCTCGAAACAATATTTGCGTTAAATGAACTCAAAATAACAACTGTATATTCCAACTTAAAGCAGCTGCATGTGAACAACGTCATTTATAAAATACTCTATTGGGAGTTTTCCAATAAATACACTCAAAATGTAGGTGAGGTCACAATGAATTGTACAAAGTCTCCCATGGATAAACGTGGATGGTAAAGGTGCAGTAACACAGAGTATAGTGGTTTGTAGTAGAGCTGCTCGATTATGGCAAAAATCATATTCTCGATTATTTGGGCCAATAATTGATATCACGATTATTAAAAACGATTATCCATTTACTTGTGAAAAACGTGAACAGTATGTTTTAACAGTTGATTACCCTGAACTTTAAGTATAATTCAGCTAAAAAATAAATAATCGTTTTATTTCCATTATGTTGTTTTCATAATCGTTGCAAGCCAAAATCGTCATTGCGATTAAAATACGATTAATTGAGCAGCTCTAGTTTGTAGTATGGTTTGTTTACTTTCTAAATAACTTGTCATTAGAATCCAGTATCATTTGTGTTCAGCGATGAATAGTAAGTTCAATATCTTCCTTAATGCATCATTTTGATCTCAATGTTAGACAAAATAAAAACAAATGACATTTAAAAAAAACTATTGCATTACATTGCATTTAGCTGACGCTTTTATCCAAAGCGACTTACAATAAGTACATTCGACCAGGAAGACACAACCTTGAAGAAAACAGAATCATATAAGTACATCAGGTTTCATAGAGCCAAACATTTCAAGTGCTACTCAACTGGCTTTAGATAAGCCAGTCCTTTATTAGTATAAAAGTGCTTCGTTAATAGTTCTAACGCTCGAAGTGGAGTCGAAAGAGATGAGTTTTCAGTTTGCGCCGGAAGGTGTGTAAGCTATCTGCTGTCCTGATGTCAATGGGGAGCTCATTCCACCATCTTGGAGCCAGGACAGCAAGTACTAAGAAAAGTAACGTGATTACATAATTTGTTAGTTACTATTGTGCTATACTAGACAATAAGTTACTGTTGCTATGCATGTTCCTGTCCGGGGACTTTTTCTAACTGACATGTTTATTTCGTTAGCTGTTGATGTTTCTTCTTGGGCTTTGGATAAATACTATTTAAATACTACGGCACGCTGGAAAGTAGGAAAAGTGGCTTACATAAGAGCAGAAAATAATCAATGTTTAATCCGATTTAAACATTAACAAGAGACACAACCGTTGAGTTTCTCTTACCTCCTATACTCAACGTCACAGACCCGCCGCGCCCAGCTGAAGATGCAATAATCGGTAATATTTTGCAACATATCTCACGTATATTTTTACACCACAGACTCAAACTTTAGTGTTTTCTGCTGTAGTTAATATTGTCTCCTGACCTCAGAGGGTATCTCAGATCTGACCTCAGACACATGATCCCCAGCGGCTCACTCTCTAAATATAAACGTTTTGTTTCGTGAGGTTTCACGTTGCTGCGATCGCTTCGTTGTTAGGGGCCATCTGGATTCATTTTATCCCGTGGAATCAGATTTCTTTATTAATATTACTGGACTGAGTGGCTCCAGATGGGATGTTCTCTAACAAGGGGAGCAGCTTCACAATAAAACAACGACAGCCTGACATGTTTCTGTCCATCAGTTACTGTGCATCGAAGGCTTCATTTGATTTGGGTGTGGACCAACGTCAAATCAGCAGTGGAGGAAAAATACTCAAATCTTTTACTTAAATCAAAGTAACAATACTGCAGTACAGATATATTCTTTTCCGAACAATGGGGGACCGAGCCTTCTGCTCACTTGCCCCGCGCCTCTGGAACTCCCTCCCAGATCAGCTGAGATCTGCCCCTTCCACCGAGGTCTTCAAAACCGGCCTTAAGACCCTCTTCTTTCGGCAGGCCTTCCAATAAACTTTGAGCATGGTACACCTGGAGTATTGCCATTTTTATCGCTATCTCCGACTTGATTTCTTATTATTATTACAATTATTTGTTTAATCTCTCAAAGTGTATCAGTATCCCTTGTTGTGAAGCACTTCGAGATTTGTCTTGGCAGATGAGAAGCGCTATATAAATTAAATGTATTTATTTATTTATTTTCATTTTCAGTACAACAGAGGACAGGCGAGCAACATGTCAATATGCATGTTAATGAACAACTAGTTGATGGTGAATATATGTACGTTAATATAAAGTGTTCCCAACATTTAATATAGTTTAGTGACAGGAAATCCTTTGCGTTGTGATTTACTTGGCACTCTGTTGACGGCTCTGAGAGGCCGCAGCACCCTCACTGTCCTGGTGGCGGTGAAGTTCAGGTTCTGAAGGTCCAGCGAATACTCGATCAACCTGGAAATGCAAAAAAAAACATGCAGAAAAACTTGTTAACAAACCTTCCAGGAATGTAATAAAAACTTAAATGCAACAAACTGAGGAACACTGGAATGAGTGAACACAACAGAAACTATCAAAACAAAACCAGGTGAACACAATCGTTCGACCACTCCTCCTGGAGAGTCCGACATTCTGCATCCACCGTTCTCTTTTTAATACTCGCCATATTAAGTTCGCTGCTATCAATGACAGTGACACTGACGGCCCGTCCACACAGCGGCGTGCGTTGAAGCTTCCAACGCTTCTGCCCATTCACTTTGAATGGGGTGACGTCACTTTTAGCCGAACTGCATCGTGGGAAGCGACGCGGACCGTTGTTGGCGTGGCTCGCTGCAAAAGTTGAGCAATGTTCAACTTTTGACGCCTCGGCAGAAGCGTCAGCCAATCGAATCATATGCCAGTACAAGCTCTAGCCAATCAAACCTGCTGCTTGTGTGTCAGGGGCGGGAGATTCATGTGATTGGTTGTTGGTCGAGTGTCAGACACGCCCGCCGGCAAGCGTCAACGCACGCCGCTGTGTGGACGGGCCGTAACGGTCTCGTTTAAGATTGAAGACGTGACGTGACATATACCACGTGATGACACGTTACGCTCGTGTTGTGTTCAAGAAAGAATTGTTTAATTCTATTGCGCTCTAGATTTATTTTATTTTTTTATTGCAGGTAATTATTTTATTTTTTTGCGTGTGTTTTTATAAATGACCTCGCGGACCGTATATGGCCCTGAGGCCGGAGGTTCCCCACCCCTGGTCTAAAGCATTGTAGGGTCACAGATGCATGATATAATATATGCACATCCCATAAAGCTTATTTAAAGTCTCAATATATCTGGTAAAATGTTTGTGTTTAAAATCATTTTTTAAGTAAAAGTAACATTTTGATGTTGACACAAAAGTGTTAACATCAAAATGACCCATTTCAGAATATAGTTTATACGATATATTTTGTAATATACTGTATATAATAGTGCATTCATCGTTTTAGGGTGAAGGCTTTAATTGACCTGAGGGTAAATTACAAGATGTATAAAGACTTCTGACATATCATGATGTATTCATTGATAATATCTTCTACTCTTAATCTGAATTGAATAAATGTAATAGTAAAAAAAGTATTTCACGGATATTTAGATCGTAGAAAATGGAAATATTCAAGTTAAGAACCTCAAAATTGTACTTGAGTACAGTAAGTGAGGAAAGTAGTTAATTACTTATTATCAATATCACTGTTTGCTATCCCACAAATAGACCTATAAATAAAAATATATGAACAAAAGTTATGCCTTATGGTAAAAATAAGTGTGTCTAGCAATTAATGACTCCAAATAAATACTACAGTTTGACCCACAGAGGCAGAAAGCCTGATGTCACAGTTTGAGATGAATGCAGTGTTTTGAGTACAGTTGTGTGTTTATAAAAGTATTGTCCTCATTTCCTGCCTGTGCTTGTTTTGCCAAACGGACGCCCACTTTATTACAGAGCCTCATCATAACCCCCACAGTTATGGGCTTTCAGTCTTTCCTCCTGATGCTGCTCTTTGTTCTCTGAGATTAAGAGATCAGGATCAGTTCAATAACAATGTTTAGGAAAGGAATGCATTCCTCTCAAAGTGTGTTTTAACGAGCTCATGTGGGTACTGCAGTTTGTAAATGAGGCGTAGGGGTTTTCTACTGGGAGAACACGGAGCCGTTTCCTGCAGATGAAGTCCATGTCCCTCAGAGAGCAGTAACGTGTCCCCGGATAATCTGCCTTACCTTCCCCTCGTAATAAAGCTTTCATTAAACTCACGGGATGTATCATTTCAGAACAGGCTGTATGAAAAAGGACCAGGAAAAAACATTCCAGTTTTCACTTGTTTTATTGTTCATAACAACAGACAAACAACATCAAACTAATTCCTGTGTTTATACTTGCTTTCAATCAAGGCAAAACAAGTTCATGATATATTGTTTAGTGCACTAACATTTGCTCGACTGTCCAAATGTCATTGCCTTTTGCTCACAGTTGTTGTCGACATGATATTATATTCACATCACGTATAATTGACTGCCTAAAGCAGACTAAGTGTTGAGACATCTAAATAAAGAAAACCTTTCCAGCACTATAATTAAGGCTCATCATGTTTTCTACTGCTTGTGTATGTAGACACTTTTTACAGGCCAAAAATACGACTGTAATACACAACATACAACCAATACTTGTATTTCTACTTTATACTACAACAGTCTATTGCCGTGTGGAAATTCAGTCAAAAAAAGGTAATGATTTATTGTTTTAAGAACACCAAAATAAACATGACTACACCACCAACACTCCCCTCTGTTTGCTCCAGAAATGCAGCAGCTCTCGTAACAACTCTTATACAACCATTTGGCAGTAGAGTTCAGAATTGTTGTTGACATGATTTTCAATTCAACTCTAAAGTCCTGCAAGCTTTTAGAACGAGCGTTGAAACGTCTAAACATAGAAACGCCAAGCCAGCACTATAATTAAGGCTCTTTCTCCCCTTTACTTTTCTACTGCTCACATATCTACCATCTTTCACTGATTTGACTGACCAGAAGTAACTATACACAACATTTAACAACAGTAGTTTTTATATTCATACAATTTCAACTATCACATGTAGAGCAGAGATTCAATCAAGTCAAAACAAGTTTAATATGAAGTACACCAAAATAAGAAACGACACTTTCCAACACACTTAACTTGTTGAATCCAGAAGTGCAGCAGCTCTTATAACGCAGCACATAATGCATTTTCCACTGGAGTTCAGAGTGGATGTTGACATGATTGTTGTAACATCGAAACATAGAAAAGCATGCCACCACGATAATTATCATTTTCTTACGCTTTCAACAACAAGATGGTTAAAGGAGAAGGCCATTTCAAACTACTACTTTTGTGTTTCCTGCTGCAAAAACACTTAACATTTGACTGTAAGCACGACTCAGCAAGTTCACCTTCTGGAAAGTAAAGTGGAAAAGCTTGAGTCATGCGTCAGGCCTTTCTGGGATGTATCTGACGTTGTCTCTCTCTCTCTTTGTTGACAGGACGTGGAGGTTCCTCTGCACCTGCTGCGATACGTCTGTCTGTTCTGTGGGAAGCACGGCCTCTCGCTGATGAAGGAGTGCTTTGAGTCGGGGACCCCGGAGAGTCTCCCCTTCCCCATCGCACACGCCTTCATCACCATCGTCTCCAATGTGAGCGCGCACACGCACACACACACGCACACGCACACGCACACACACCCACTTTATTGTCAATCTTTCAGTGTGTGTGTGTACAGACAGAGAGATCGAAATACCGTTTCCTACAATCACAAATATAAATACAAATATGTATATCCTATATATACACAATCAACAGACACATTTATACATATGCACACATCTAAAAAAAGGATTTGAAGTAGCACGTTAAAGTCAATAACTCTTAACTGAATGAAAGATAGAGATAAGATTTAATAAGGAATGTTTTTGCAAATGTATTAAGAACACAGTTTGAAATATAATGCACTCTGATATCAGTTATGAAATAAATTCTCCTTTAACGAAAGGTATTATTACTTAGCTTTTTTGTTGTGATTAGGTCCTGATTGTATGTTCTGTTGTACAGTATTGCAGTATACTGACAAGTGTTTCCTATATTTAACCTACCCTCATTGATGTTCATTATTTGTATTCTGTAATTAATGAACCCGAGATGTTCCCTATAAACTAGGAACAGAGATACCAGTGGTTATAAAGACTCCCACTGCAGTTTGTCTGATATGTTTTCATGTGAGTTTGATGTTAAATACTCTTTGTGTTTGCTCACAGATCCGAATATGGTTGCACATTCCTGCGGTCATGCAGCACATCATACCGTTCCGCACCTATGTAATACGGTGAGTTAAAATGTCCAAAAGCTGTAATTCTATATAGGGCTGCTCGATTATGGGAAAAATCATAATCTCGATTATTTGGGTCAATAATTGTAATTGCGATTATCCATCCATCTTCTCCCGCTTATCCGTGGTCGGGTCGCGGGGGTAGCAGTTCCAGCAGAGAGCCCCAAACTTTATTTTCCCTGGCGACATCAACCAGCTCTGACTGGGGGATCCCAAGGCGCTCCCAGGCCAGCGAAGAGATATAATCCCTCCACCTGGTCCTAGGTCTACTCCTTGGTCTCTTCCCAGCTGGACGTGCCTGGAACACCTCACTAGGGAGGCGCCCAGGTGGCATCCTAACTAGGTGCCCGAACCACCTCAACTGGCTCCTTTCGACGCGAAGGAGGAGCGGCTCAACTCCGAGTCCCTCCCTGATGACCGAACTTCTCACCTTATCCCTAAGGGAGACACCAGCCACCCTGCGGAGAAAACCCATCTCGACCGCTTGTATCCGCGAATTGCGATTATTAAATGACTTTGAAAACATCCATTTATTGGAGAACGTTTTTAACAGTATGTTTTTAACAGTTGATTACCCTGAACTTTAAGTTTAACTCAACTGAAAAACCAAAAAATAAATAAAAATAATAATAAAAAATAATCGTTTTATTTCGATTACGTTGTTTTCGTAATCGTTGCAAGCCATAATCGTAATCGCGATTAAAATACGATTAATTGAGCAGCCCTAATTCTATATGTAAAAAGGAGAACCTATAGAGTAACATGCATTTATTAAACGTGCACATTTGAACATACAAACACAGAACAATCAGCCAGACCTAAAGAACAAATAATC